CAAGCAGAAATGTAATGCTAATAAAGGGTCTTCCAATAAGAGGTACTATTTTGATATTCAAATAGAAAAATAGCATTTTTTTTCAAATAAATGATTGGATAATTGTTTCAACGTAGAGGGAAAAAGATATGCCATTTTTAATGGAAAACAATATCAGCCAAATGGTCGTCATGGTTACGCTTCCAGTGCCGTAAACTTTTTATGAAATCTTCCATCACCAAATCGCAAAATGTCTAGTTGTATACCCTCAATAGCTTCTTGAATTCCAACTTTGAAAACTTTAAGCGACGTTGGGTTATTTGCGTAAACCTTAGCTTTCACGTGATTCCGAAGCAAGAAGTCGCAAGATTTTAAAATACAAGATCTCGTAACCGTGGAAAAATTGCGTTCAGCACTTCCAGCGATAAAAAGATCCGAAAACTTATCTCATAAAAGATCGATGGTTTCATTGCTTATGTGACACAAAGCGGCATTATTTCGTTTAAAGTAAACGTTGTCCAGATTAATGGCATCCAATTCTGGATATAAAAAAAATCATTAATTATCTATCGATAACGCAATTATGAATGAATTTCAAAAAAGTAAGCTTCAATGACCCCACCTGACTGCACCAAACAGTTCCACATTGGGGATAAAGAGGCTTTTTAACAATAAATCTTAGGCTTTCCGAGCCCCAGAGCCGACAGTTATGCTTATTGACGTAGTCATCGAGGTGGAAATGAGTCTCGTCAGTCAAGATGTTTTCGATGAAATTCCGGATTATTTTCATGCATTCCAAAGACCCAATCAGCAATAACACGACGTTGTTAATGATCGGCCGGCTATTTTAGGCTGTTAACTGAACTTTATAAGTCTTAAGGAGCGCACCTAGTGTAATGGCCTTAAAAAAGGTGATTTTTGGGAAATTTTATTAAAAAAAAACTTTATCAATTATTTCAAAATTTTAGGAATGTGTTTATACATGTTTCACGAATATATAGTGAAATTTGTGAAGAAAAAAATTACATGTTTTTTTAAGTCATAGTCGATCTCCAACGGTGCGTAAAAAAAGGTCCTTCACTGCTGCAATGATTCCGGTCTTCTCCGTGGCTGAAATCTAAAAAAAAATTCTCGACTACATAACATTGTCTGTACAATGACCTACGATAAGAAAATTGACAATATGGCGGCGTTTAAAAAAATTGTCGAATTTTACCCAAAACTCGGGTCGTTTTTGGCCTGCCAAAATTCGATTTTTTGATCAGATCAAAAATCGATATATCATTGTACGGAAAACTATATACAGAACATGTAAAAAAATTCGATAGCGATCGGATCATTTCTTTTTGAGTAATCACTGCGGTAAGTTGGGAAAATGCTGTTTCGAGAAAAACGCTTCTAAAGATAAAATGATCGTTTTCAACCGTAGCTAATGAGACTTTCCAGCTACCGAGCGGCTGCTTTTTAAATTGCCATAACTCAAAAACTATTTGAAATTTTAATATGTTATTTTTAAAGGTGTAATCTACCGATTTTTTTTTAATTTCACACTAGGTGTGCCTCTTAAGACCCAAGTCCTTATGCAAAATACTGTGTAATGAAGTTTGCGTACGTTCCAAAGAACGACCCTTAACCTGCGGTTTCTTCAAAACTTTGGGCTACAGCGGCAATACTCTCAGTTGTTCTTGAGCGACCTGCACTTCGTGTTCTTCACATCACTAACTTCTTCCAACAGCACCTGTTTTCCCATCATTTTTTGTATTGTGCTCCGACAAAGTGGCTCACTTTAGTTTGATGAACCGTCTCTGACAGTTTTTCGTCACTTTTATAGTGAATTTTAATAATTTCAATGCGTCGCTGAAGCGTGTATTGTTCCATTTTTATTGCTGGCGTAGTTTTCATTTGTCAAAAGTCAAAAAATTATAGTTTCAATAGTGTCAGTCACAGTTTGAAAAGCAGACTGTTCAAAAGAACACCACTTATTCGAAAGCCCATTGTATGTATAAAATTGTCAAGTAAGAAAATAGGTTTTAAAAAAAAAATTATTAAGAAATAATCCTTTAATTTTGATAACTTAACATATTTTTCCATAACTTAATTGCCTTAATTTGTATGTATGTAATGATAATAAATTAATTCATACGTTTTATTCGTGAAAGGTATAAAATTGTATAATTAATTGGCTAATGACGACATCAGGCTAATGAAATTTCATTTAAAATTTCATCACATCACTTAATATTCAGTGAGCACGGGAAAATTCCGACAGTAGTCACGATTTTATTTTCGTTCACCGTTGTGTTGTAATGAAAAAATCTTGACGGTGAAATATAGACCATCGCTTTGATTCATCATTTCACAGAATACATATTGTATTTGCAAGGGGGGAGTGGATGTTTACAGAGTAATAAATAGAGAAAAAACACTTCCGAACGATAAGTAGAAACAGTTTTGCTTGAAATCTATTTATTTAGCTCTAGGTACGTTGATCAGTTCACAAGAAACAGCTGATATGTATAATTTATGAAGAAAAATAATTTTTTTTTAGAATCATTTCATGAAAATTCGAAATCATATTACGACTGTTGTTAATTTAATTAGTTTATATGCCTTTCATGTACATGAAATGGTATATTAATTCTCTTTCGAAGGATTAGGTACCAGAAGGAGAAGAGAAATACCCATCAAAATCTTTGACGATTTGATCAAAAGGACGAGCCGAATTGCTTTAGCCATGTCTGTCTGAGAGAGTTGAGAGTAAATTCTAGTTCACCAGTTTTTGAGATATTTCAATCAATCTTTGTACGCAGATGAAACAAACATTTATAGAGTGTGAAAAGCATCGAAATTGTAAGATTTTATCGATCGGGTTTTAATTTTGATTTTATTTTTATATGGGCAAGCCGATCGCTTAGCGGCAGAGATCAAAGTGCATGCCCGACGATTGGAACCCAAGTTTATTCTGTCCAATATACAGAAGGCCAACCCCACACTTATACGCCTGTATAAGCTGTTGTTAAGCAACACCAAAAGCTGCGTCAAGATCGGGCAGAACCTCTCCGTGCCGTTCGATACCAAACGAGCTTTCAGGCAAGGTGATCCCTTATCGTGTGACTTCTTCAATTTAGTACTTGGAAAAAATAGGTGTACGAGATATAAGAGACAGCGGCTACCTGGACTAGGTAATGTGGTCCGAATGGATGCGAATACTCCAGCTTTGAAAGTTTTCGATGCAGTACCCGCCGGTGGAAGCAGAAAAAGATGAAGACCTCCGTTGGAAAGACCAGGTAGAGAAGGAATTGGCGCCAAACAGCACAAAAAAGGAACGAATGGCGCAATGTTGTTTAATCGGTCAAAATCGCGTAAGCGGTGTCTGCGTCAGTAAAGTAAGTAAGTAAGCCTTTCCAAGTAAGGCGTTGACTTAACTGCTTTCCAAAGGTATTTGACTGAAGTGTTTTGAGGAATAGCAGCCTCATATTTTAAAACATGAGGAGTAGTGAGGAGTGTCGGTATTCACTTTAACATTTCATATGCTCGATTTATGTTCAAGTTCTCTCCAGTTGAAATTGCGGCCAGTAATAATAGAGTAGCGTCGTTTGCATATGGTGCAATCAAGACCTCATCAGTTGGTGGAATGTAAATATGATTTATTGGACAGGTTCAAATAAACTATCTTAAGACACCCCGACTTTTATGAGTACGATTATATATCGGAATGCTTGCTCCGGTGCTTTTCTTAAGCCTATAGATCCACTGCTGAAAACGATCTTCAAAATCTTGCTCTTCAAGCTTATCAAGTTCAGCATCAACCGCAATAAATACCTCCTTGTTGCTATTGAGGATCTTTCCTTTTAAGCTTTCTTAAATTTTGGAAATAACTAGACATCACAACGTGCTATATCCGGGCAATATGGTGCTGGAGGTATTTCTTTGATCCCAGGGAACGTAATAAAATGACTCGTTATTTCAGCAGAGTGACATGGCGCGTTGTCATGATGTAAAAAGTAGCGCCGCAAATCCTCTTTCTTTCTGTTTTCCAAGAAATTTTCGATAACTTTTTGTAAGCACTCTTCGGTGTACCATTTTACAGTTACCGCCTGACCCATTTCGAATTTCGTCTGATCTATCCTCAACCATATTGCGTTTTTTCGTCTCCATTTTAGCCGATCGTTCTGAAATTGGAAAGGTAGACTAATAAAGTAACTGCAAAGGATTTTGTATTTTTAGATTAAAAAAAAAAAAACTGAAAGTCACCAACTGACCGAAGTTTTGTTAATCACTTCGTATTGTGTCTTACAATCTCTGGCAGGATGGCTCTCAGAAATATTCTTTCAAATATTTTGGAGAATGTCACCTGGCTTGTTCATTTTCTCGGTCTTAGGTATCATTTTTTTTATTTCTTTTTTTGACACTCAATTAAAGAATGCTCCGATATCCATATGTTTGCAAGATAAAAACACACACCTATGTATATACATATAAACAAACTTATAAATAATTTTAAATTGATAAGCAAATCACAGCGAATTATATTTGCATGAATTGCAAAAATTGCATGAAAATTGCAATCACGCGCAACAACATCAAAACAATAAAGCCAACAACAAAAGTTAGTAAACAAATTTAAAATGCTTAAAGATAGAGCAGAAGAAAGCAATGAAAACAAGCAAACGCCAACAACATCAACAACGTGTCGTAAGCAAAATAGCAGGAAAATGCAATAAATACTGCAACAAGCAATATAAACTATGTATCTATGTATAAGTATGAATGCACATATGTAACAGAAATGTAAATAATAACAAAGCGATACAACGCGGGCGTGTTGATCAAAACAAAAGCGACAGAGAAATATGCGTATCTAGAAGCGCGCGAAAAAGCTAAAATGCATTGGATGCAAAGCAAGCAAAAACCAAAAAAAAAAAAAAGCGCAAAAAAGCAAATATCAATAAAATATGCTAACGGTGCTTGTAACGCCTGCAGTTCTGAAATGTGTTTGGGTATTACTGTACATACATATACACGTACATGCTTTCGCCATACTCAGACGGCAATAAAACTGTCTCGCCACTTATTGGAGTGTGTTTGTGAGTCATAACTGTATAATTGCATACATATCATTGCGTACCCCGCTGTGTAAGATCACAATGGTTTGAAAAAGTATTAGTTTGCTACTAGTCGCTCCTGACTAAAACTGCATGGATATAATTTATTATTATTAAAACATAAGCGGACCGATTATACGTTCGAGCTAGCGTTCGAAGGTCCATATGTTTCCATTTTAACCAGAAAAACATCCAAAATTATACATTATTTTTTAATTGCTCTTGTCACGCGGCAGCTAATGTGAGCCCCTCCGAGTGTATTTCTAACATGAAATCAAAAGAACCTTTTTAAAATGCATCCGCAGACCGGAGATGACATGGAAAGAACTGTAGTTTCTTCCATTTGTTAGTTAAAAAATTTATACGCACATTTAAGTTCGGTTAAAAGTCCTTAAGCGCTTATAAATTGCTAAATACTAGGTATAGCAAAAAGTTATCAATTTGGCTCGATAGCTTTTTGCCATTTTGAAGGTAATGTCCTCTCTCATTGAAATCTCTGTACTTATTGGCAAAAAATTGGAACTATCGATTTCGATTGGCTTCTCTTGAGGTCAATTCTTCGGCAGGTGGATGCATAAGAACCTCCCAACTAAACTCTCGGAGCTTCTGGCGGTTCTGGCGTCTTACTGATGGAATACATCCCTGTTGGCGAGTCACAATCGATATGAGTGGTCTGGCGTTGTACTGATGGAATACATTTCCTCTCTGTTGGCCAAAACTGTGCGCTTGAGAGCGATAGCTTCCTTCAGACGTTCCAATTGTTGACCGTATAGGTCCGAATTAAAAGCTTGGTCTTAGGAGATCTTCTTAGAGTGGATGATTCCTTTCCCATCCAATCAAACACGCAACAAAACCTCTGCTCTCAATCCTGGCTTTGAGATAGTTTGTGCCGTGTCACTTCCCTTCGAGTGCGAGGTTTGGATTTTAGGGAACCACTTCATCACCGGTCTCCATTCGCTTCAGAAATGACTCGATTTTGTTGCAATTCAGCAGCATTTCACAAAATGGAAACTCAGTCCAGTCAGTTCGTATTTTTAATTTTTTTTATTTAAAAAAAAAAAAAAAAAAAAACATTTTGAACACAAAAAAACGGACGGATGTAATTTGTATTTTATGTGTTTTTAATTTTAACTATAATTATTTACATATTTTTAAATTACAATTTTTTTAGTTTTCAATGTTCTTCTTTCTAAATTTTTTTAAAATAATTTTTTTTCATTAAAATATTATTTCTATTTTTTTTTCGTTATAAATTTAATAAACCTTACTTTTTAAACTTTTATAAATATATATAATTTTTTTTACTTATGCTTTTTTTACATATATTTGGATTTTTTTTGAAATATATTAGCATATTTTAAAATTTTTTTATTCTGTTTGTGCTGTTTTAATTTTTTATTTATTTATGAACAATTTTTTGAATTTTTTCTATTTTATTTGATTTTTTTTAATTAAGTTAATTTTTTAGTTATTTATTTAATTTTTTAGTTTTTTTAGTTTATTTCTTTTTTTTAATATTTTTGTTCTGTTTGTGCTGTTCTATTTTTTTTGGTCATGAACATTTTTTTGAATTTTTTTGTAATTTATTTGATTTTTTTAATTTATTTTAATTATATTAATTTATTTTATTTGTTTTAGTTTATCTGAACTTTATTAATTAATTTTGTTTTTTTTTTAAATATATTTAATATATAAAAAAATTTAAAAAAAATCCTATTTTTTTATTTATGAAAATTTATTTGTATGTTTTTTAATATAATTTTTTTTTGTTTATTTTATTTTTTTGTTTATTTCATTTTTTTTAATTTATTTGAACTTTTTTTAAATTAATTTCAATTTTTTTAAATATATGTGATTTATTTTATTCCTTTTTATTTTTTTTTATTTATGAAAATTTAGTTGAATGTTTTTTAATTTTCTTGATTTTTTTAATTTATTTGATTTTTTTAAAATTTATTTGATTTTTTTAGTTTTGTTTTATTTTTTAGTTTATTTTATTTTTTCAAATTATTTTATTTGATTTTTTTAATTTATGTGATTTGTTTTTAAATTTTTTTATTCTGTTTGTGATGTTTTTTTCCTATTTATATATTTTTGATTTTTTTTTAAATTGTTTTGATTTTTTAAATTTATTTATTTTTTAATTTATTTTATTTTTTAGTCTATTTAATTTTTTTAAATTAATTCAAACTTTTTTTTATTTTTTTTTTAAGTTATTTATTTTTTAATTTATTTTATTTTTTAAATATTGTTAATCTGTTTGCGGTGTTTTATTTTCTTATTTATGTATTTTTATTTCAGTTTATTTTTTACACTATTTTTACTTTCTTTGTTGCTAGTTTTATTGTTGTTTATTTTTTTTTTTTTACAAATTCTTTAAATACAATGTATGTGCATGTATAGTTTTCCTACACGTGTTGTTATTTTTTTTTGTTGCATTTTTCACATTTATTTCTAATTTATGTTCATTGGCTCATGTGACCGTCTTTTGTAGGTAAACAGAATAAATATTTCTGCACCACTTAGGATTGAATTAGACGTGCCGTAACCATAGCATACCATAACAGCTGATCCACGAAATAAATTGAGAAAACTGTTTCCGGTTTTTGATGGCTTACCATTATGTGGCCACGACATAGCTGAATATTGTATTGAATTTTAGGTTTTCGCCGTAGCCACAGACCAGCTCTAGTTGCTTCTCTGTTAAATTTTAATATTTTTGTTTTGATGTTTGCTGCTACTATTTTTGAGTTCAATTTTTTCTTTGCTTTTATTCAATTTAAATTCAATTTATAGACAAAAAATAGAGCTCTTCGTAGGCATTGTATCAATAAGAGATTCCTTTACCCATAATTATGGTTATGTTTATGGTTACAATTATGGTTCTATGGTATGTCACCTTCAATTTAACCTTTATTCGTTGCATTGGCATGTGGCAGCTTGTGTATTTACCAACTGTTTGCAATTATATTTCTTTTTAATTTGCATTTGTTTATCGTTTATACATACATATATGTATATATTTATTTTCAGTCTACTCTTACTGACACGTTTCTCACTTTGTATTGTACTTTCCCGCCAACCAATTAAAAATTAGCAAAAATACTGATTGACAGTCGAGTGAGTAAAACATTGTAAATATATATATATATATATACATATGCATATATCTATGTATGTATATGATAATGTACTAGTAGAGAAATATCCCATTATCAACACACTTGTATACAAAAAAAAATAAAATAAAAAATAAAATAAAATTAATGTAATTTGTAATGTGCGCTTACAATATAATACTGCAAAGGATAAATGCAAATAAAAAATATTCTAGTGACAGACTGCAATTTTGTGCATTTAGAGAGTTGCTGTTTCATTTGATTTTCGACTAGAACTTTGGTCCGAAGTATTTATGTAAGTACCAGAAGGGGAAGAGATAGACCCATTAAAATTTATACCGATCGGGTAAGGATGAGGAGTTGAGTTGATATAGCAAAATAGCCGCCTGTCCGTCAGTTTACAGGAAAATAAAAATTTCAACCTGTACACATATTATATATCTGTGTTTGGCGTCAATTTTAATATGGAGTCCACAAAAGGAACTTTTCGCCATATTTTGTTGATGGCAATATCAAGGCTTTAGTCGGATCGGTTTGTCATGTAGCTGGGCCTGGAGAGAAGTTAAGTATAGCAAAATCAACAGTTCTTAATCATTTACAAAGTTTTGGACTAGTAAAAAAACTTGATATTGGTAAAAAGTACAATATGTGAACAACATTTGGTGGAAATTTGAATGAAAAATAGTAGAAGTTAAGGCGTTGGCAGTGTCGTGGAGTAGACCGTCCACAAGAAAGTGCTTTCGCGGTAGTCATGAGAACTTTTTCAATTTTTATCTGAAATCAAAAATTCAAATTTTTTCTTGAAGTATGTGTATTTTCCTTATCGCTGAACGAAGAAAAGTTAAAAAAATTAAACTGAACTTTTTGAGCGTTTTTTTTCAAAAAATGTAATTTTTTGCATGAAATTAGGCCACGCATAGGCCTGTAAAATAAGTTGCAATTAAATATAAAATAAATCCTTCGTTCAGGGACTTAACAACATGCTTAAAAGAAGTGTAGAAAATTTCAACCCGATCGCTTCAATAGTCGTTGAGAAATTTTGACTACCGATTTCGATGAAGTGGTTTTAAGAAAAACGCGTTCAGTCAAGCCATGACAAAGACGGCGGGCTAAAAACCCCTCTAATTTCTACAGTTTCGTCTCAATCGACTTGAAACTTGGCGAAAATATTCTTGACGCTTTGTACTTTTATACAAGATATGATCAAAAAAATTAATTTTTTGAAGTTTCAAAACTTATTTAACCCCTTAAACGCAATGAATATGATCTGTTTTTGAAGCAAATCCTAACTGTAGATGAAAAATGGATTCTTGACAATAACGTCAATCGAAAACGATCATGGTCCAAGCATGAAGAAGCGCCACAAACCACTTCGAAGAAGCTGAAGATTATGCTGTCAGTTTGATGGGATTGGAAGGTTGTCGTATATTTTGAGCTGATTCCAAGAAACCAAACAAATAATTCTCATGTCTACTGTGAACAACTGTATAAATTGGATATGTAATCAATCGTAAAGGTGTCATATTCGACCAGTACAATGCTAGACCTCACACATCTCTGTTCACTCGCCAAAAACTGAAAAAACTTAACTGGGATGGGAAGCATGCACCATATAGCCCTGACCTTTCACTGACAGACTACCATTTGTATCGATCTTTGCAGAACACATTCAATGGTAAAACTTTCAAAAATGACGAGGCTATAAAATCGCTATTGCTTCAATTTGCGTTGCAGATAAAGACTAGAAGTTCTATGGGCGTGGAATAATGATGTTGCCGGAAAGGTGGGGAAAGATCATCCGACAAAATGGAAATTACGTTATTGATTAAAGTTTATTATAAAATTAAAAAAAAATATATATTTACTTCCTTTTAATAAATCACCGGGTCTCTTTTGAGGCAATCCAATATATGCTATTTAAGCCTCGGTCTAACCGTCTATTTAATTTACGAGCTGATGAATATATATATATATATATATATATTTTTATAATTAATGGTGGAAAAATTTTATTCATAGTAATATTATCTATGAAATATCGTCGATGCATTGAAAAATACAAATTGCTTGCCGCACATAATCGCACCCCTCACTCCTCACCACAAACCGTCTGCTTAGTAATCATAAAATATTATTCCTTTGTTTTATTTTGTGATCATCACGTTTCGCTGTGGTCTTTACTCTCTTATAATTTCTGTATTTACAAATATACGTGTACATACATATAGAAAGCAAAACATTGTTTTAAACAATGTACAAAATAGATAATTAAAAATAGATTATTATTTTTAAATAGAAGTGCAAACAAATGGTTGCCAAATGCTATTTTGTTTTTGTCTAATGAATGTATATTTCAAAAGCTTAGTGACACGTGGGAAAAGGTGATAAATATATGTATGTACGTTCTGTTATGGGGCACAACTAGTGTAATGACCTAAAAAAAATGTGATTTTTGGGATTTTTTTATTAAAAAAAAATATTTCATCAATTATTTCAAAATTTTAAGAATCTATTTATGCATGTTTTAAGAATATACAGTGAAGTTTTTGAAGAAAAAAATTAAATATTTTTCAAGTTATAGTCGATCTCCAACGGCGCGAAAAAAAAGTACCTTCACTGCTGCAGTGATTCTGACCTTCTCCGTGGATGAATAATATTAATATTGTCTGTACAATGACCTACGATAAACAAAACAAAAACAAAATCAAAAATTTACAATAAAAAAAAAATAGTTGAATTTAGCCCAAAATTTTGGTCATTTTTGGCCTGCCAAAATTCGATTTTTCGATCAGTTCAAAAATCGATAGGTCATTGTACAGAGAACTATATATAGAACATGTTAAAAAAATTCGATAGTGTTCGGATCATTTGTTTTTGAGTAATCACTTCGGTAAGTTGGGAAAATGCTGTTTCTAAAGATAAAATGATCGTTTTCACTCGTAGCTAATAAGACTCTCTAGCTGCCGAGCGGCTGCTCTTAAATTGCTATAACTCAAAAACTACTTGAGATATCGATTTGAAATTTTAATATGTTATTTTCATCTACTGTTAATCTACCGAAATATGAAAGAAAGAAGTTTCACACTAGGTGTGCCCCTTGAAAAAAATATCATTTTCTTGGAAGGATAACCTGCACATGTTCAAACACACCGCTAATTGACAATTAAGACAGTTTTTACTAATTAAGAATCAATTGCCATTTAACTACTAATCAAACGTATCAGAATTGAAACAAAGAAGTCTTCTATTTAAGGTAGAATAAGAAAAGTTATCATATTATTATGAAAGCTGTCATCAAAATGATACATAAAAGGAAAGGAATTACTAGACTGATAGAATCCCATACATTATGGTCACCGATAAGGTCTAAAACGTAAGGTCTTTAACACACGATAAGGAGTGGAAATAAAAAATCAAATTATTTTTCCTTTTCAATATATTTATCCGCTTCAATTTATTTATTTATATCCACATATAAAATCGTTTAATTTTTATCTTAAAAATACGTCGGCACTGCCTCCTTGACTTCTTCATTGGTGATACCTTTTTTTTTTACCTCGCAGCTCTTTATTTTCTGAGCTTTAAAATGGGTAATCAAAGCTGCCTGACTAATATTTAAGCGTAATATAGTCCAGCTAAAGAAACACCTTTAGTTTCACAATCGATCAATTATCAAATATTTCTTTTGAGTCTCATAAGACCGTTGCCACGAGTTGACCTGCTAACTGTGACATATTAAACTTTAGGGGAGGCGCTGTGCCTTTTATAATGTCACTGCACGAAGCCTTTTTTCGACTAGTGGAGAACATAAGTTTCGTCTCCAGCAACAATTCGACTCAATACAACGCCCTTTTTCTTCGTTATGGAGATCTAAAAAAGCATGTGAATACTCTAAGCAGCGCTGTTGATTTTGCGGGGGCATGAGCATACTCGACATCCATCTTGTGTTGACCTTAGTTATGCGAAGATGATCTTGCAAGATTTTAAAAATCTTTGCATCGGATACTCCAATCAGTACGGCGGGTTCCTTCTACTTTAGTCGAGCATCGTCGAGGATTATTTCTGTCGTTATCATCTCGTTGCTCCTGCACAACTCCGGGTCATACTCAAAAGATTCCCTTGCTTGTTTATATAAGCTGTGCTTTAGGTTTTCCCCAGATAGGGGTCGCCGTAAGCTAATGCCATCACATACATTATGGTCACATATGATTTTCCTTGCTTGGTAAGGAACTTTCTAGTGGCACGATATTCGATTTTTTCCCAATTCCACTTTTCACTTCCGATTATGTTGCTTGGATTCAAGATAGCTGAAAGACTAATTGTCTAATAACAATGAAACCTCGTGTTCATATTAATTATTAGCGACTAAACTTTACGATATTAATGAGCCTAGAAACCCCGTGACAACCCTCTCAATCCTCTAACATAAAAACGCTACCTTTTACATAGGTATATGTCATATATTCGCTGTATGGCCGAGTATGAACAGTGGAGTTCGGTTAATAATTAAAAAAAATTGTTTAACAAATTCTTGCTTTTTTTTGACTTCTTGAATAAAGCAAAAAAAAAAATAATAATAATAATTTCAGAACCAAATAATCTTCTTTCTCATAACTATTTAATGGTAAGGCTTAATTGAGTGTGTCTGAACACCAAACTGGATACACTCAATTTAGAGCTGAACTTATATTAAATAGCAGTGTAAACCCCTAGTAAGACCAAATGTTCGCTTTGTTCGCTATGTTTGTACCGAAAACTGCGATTCACAAGCAGAAAACGTGTATTAAAGCTGTTCACACACACGCTAAATTACTTATTGACTTCTTTCCTAGTAAATAGGTTTGCAATTTGCCTATCTAGGCCTTGCCTGCCTGAATTGCTGGTTATCGATGAATTCTTAGTTGTGAGCGTAAAAATTATGCGAAAATGTGAAGGTTAAATACTTCTAATCGACGCCCATAAACTCTCAGGGGCTGGGAGGAATGAAAAACGAAAATATTTCACTTCATCTCATCTAGTCAGCCCATTAAAGAAAGAGACCAGAGAAGCAATTGGAATTTGATTTAAGCTCCTTAATCTCCACTTCTTAGGTATACAACTTAAGGCTGGTCCTATTTAAGCAGGGTTAATTTTAAGAAGGACGATTAAGTCGATTCAGTTTGGGGTGACACGAATTTTGTTTTATTTTTGTCAGCGACAAATCTCCCAGCAATGTCGATTGTCACTAGGCTTTAAAATACTCATGATGATGTAGAAGCTTGTAGTTCTTTGTAAGGCTCTTTTATAATTTTTTTAAATTTCATTCGTTACTAAAACTAACTAACTAAGTTTCTACATTTCTTTCCATTTTTCCAGATAAACGAGTAACGGCATAAACGCCTAGTTTATTCGCAACCACGCGCCGTGGCGTCGGCGCCAGCGCCACTATCAACACCCCTTTCCGTATAGACGCCGACAAAGTCCAACGTTTCTTTGTTGTCTAGGCGCAAAAACTTATCAGCTGAGTACCAGGGTGTACCGCTACAACAGCAGTCAGCATTCGAGTAAACTCTGCGTTTGCACGCGAGCAATAGCAGCAGAGCGACTGCAACTTATGCACCGGCTGCCGCAACAGTGTCAGCAGCACTAATTAAATCGTAAAATGACCGAAAATCAAATATTTTCCATGTCGACTGATCTATTCGACACCTCGTCCAACAGCAGCAATCCACTTAAGTGTGATCTCTTCTCGTTGGCCCTGAGCAATAGCAACACTTCCAGTCTACTCTTCGGCGCATCGGCATTGCCCGCACTGAGTCCATTGCAGCAACTGAATGTGAATACAATTTTCAGCTCCAACAATTCCAACTCCAGTCCAAATTCCGCAAATTACATAACCAATACAAATTCGAACGCCAACACACCAACGGACCAAACGACACAATCGCAGCAACAGCAGCAGCAGCAGCAGCAACAGCAGCAGCATACTTTTGCTGGCAACAACATCGGTGGCAGTGGTGGCGGCAGCATCATTAGCGGTAGCAGTAATGTGATGCTGACCAACGCCATTAGTATACCGCGCAGTAATAATCCCAATCAGAGCCATAATCCGTGGTCCCAAGACTCAGTAGACACGCATCATCACCCTAGCCCGAGCCCTTTGCAGCATCATCATCATCATTCGCAACATCTTAGCAATCTGCATCATCAGCATAGTCAAATATCTTCCATGATGTCTGCACAACAACAGCAACAACAACAACAACAAAATAATCAGCAACAACAGCAGCAACAGTCGTTGCAGCACACGCAACCACGTCTCTTTGTCGACTTCTCCGATTACGGCTTGGATGTGGCCTCACTAGATGCCGCCTCCTTATCACCCACCCTGCTGCAAGATGTTAGCTTGGGTGTTTCTTCGCCACTGGATGGCATCACATCGAACGGCTTCTATGCAGCTGACGCCTCACCGATCAGCAACAGCGGCAGCAATAGCATAGTGGGCAGTGTTGGCACCGCTGATTCAGCGAGTACGCTGCTGGGCCTCAACGATAGCATACGCCCGGGCGATGATGGTAATAATTCATTGCTCTTCGATGCCACCGGCGGTACACCCAATTCGAGCGCCATGTGGAGCGACATTAGCAATGCCATCATACACACCAAACACGAGCCTTTCACACTGGAGGATGACTATATATTCCCCATAGATAAGGCTGAGATACAGGCGGCCGGTTTTGGCGATATACCGGAAGACCATTTCCTTGATGTGATTGATAATTTTGATGAGCTGTTGAATAGCGGTGCCGGACAGAATGACTTCATGTTATCGCCTGGTAATCAGCATAATAGCACAAACAACTTGCAACAGTTGAATAGTCCACAGGCTTCACCGAGTGGTGGACCGCCCATGGAGTTGTTACAGTTGCATAAGCAACAACTACAACAGCAGCAACAGCAACAGCAACAGCAATTGACACAATTGCAAACAGCTCAACAGCAACAGCAGCAGCAACAACAGCAACAACAACAACGACAACAACAGCCACGCTTACAGCACAGTAACAGCGCTGGCGGTGCCATACATACACACCACAATCACCATAACGCATCTAGTCCATATGAAATCTATCATAGTACACCAAATAAACAGCAACAACAACAACAACATCAGCATCAGCTGAGTAGCTCTGGTTCAAACTCGTTCTCGCCGGGTAGTCAGGTAAATTCAGGTCATACGCAGAAGACCCATACTTACGGGAGTACTGAAGCTCCTGTTTATCCTTTGTTTCGTTCTTTAATAATTTAATATCTTTTCATTCACCAACAGCCCTCACACTCACCACTTCAGCTCAATTCCATAACGCCACCACCACCGCCGCATGCCAATCGCTCACAAAGTCTGCAAGTAAAATCGCGTAATATGTTGGAATTACAGAAGAAAGGCTTCTCAATGTCACCCGATCGCGTTAGCATAAACGGAAGTGCCGCTTTAATCGGACAATCCGTGCCGGGCAATAGTCATTTACTGCTCTCAGGTGCTGCGCTCAGCCCGAGTAGCGGTGGCAGCAGTAGTGGTTTTGGTAGCAGCTCCGGTGGCGGTGCTGGCAGTAGTACTAGTGGTTCGGCACGCAAATCGTTCCAATATCCTTGTGATACGTCGATATCACGACTATCCTCCTCAGCACCCACACATCTCGGGCTCGAACACATATGGATGCGACGTGAACCGCGACAGCATTTGTTGTCCACTGGCTCGCTGGCCGAGGCTGAATCATTCTCGTCGTTGAGCACTGGCAGTGTATTGTCGCCGGATGGCATTGATTTCTCGCAGGACGATGATGACGATGCATCAACTGATTATAATAGCGATAATTATGATGATTTGTCCAGTGATGGTGAGTTGTTGCTGCAAGGAAGGAATTTGTGTGGAATTTCAGTTTTATTCTGTACCTTCCTAGGTTCCGATAACGAGGATGACTCACGCACCGTTTCCGGTCATTTAAGCAGTAAAGGTAAGGAGCGCTACTTCTGGCAGTACAATGTTCAAGCAAAGGGACCTAAAGGCAAGCGGCTCGTGTTCCAATCACGTTTGGAGGATCCGCACGTTTTGAACGAGGCCACCGATCCGGTGTTTAGCCCAAATTGTTCTGTGCGTGGTATCAAAGTATTCAAAGTAAATATGACCAATTGCTGTGTACAACAACACATCTAGCATTTTTACCTGTGTGTATGTGTGTACTCATATTGTTTTTGTTTTACAGCACAGCGGCAAGGCGCGCAAGGGTGATGGCAATGATTTAACGCCAAATCCACGCAAACTACACGTCATTGGCAAGGAACTAGACAAACTCGGACGCACCATCAATGACATGACGCCTGTATCTGAGTTACCCTTCAATGTGCGTCCAAAATCGCGCAAAGAAAAGAACAAATTAGCGTCACGGGCTTGTCGTCTGAAGAAGAAGGCCCAGCATGAGGCGAATAAGATAAAACTCTTTGGACTGGAAATCGAACATAGTAAGTGCACGTATGAGAAAGAGAGAGATATGGGGAGAGAGATATGGGGAGAGAGATATAGAGAGAGAGAGATATATATAGAGAGAGATATATATAGAGAGAGAGATATATATAGAGAGAGAGATATATATAGAGAGAGAGATATATATAGAGAGAGAGAGATATATATAGAGAGAGAGAGATATATAGAGAGAGAGAGATATAGAGAGAGAGAGAGATAGAGAGAGAGAGAGAGATATATAGAGAGAGAGATATATATAGAGAGAGAGATATATAGAGAGAGAGATATATAGAGAGAGAGAGATAGAGAGAGAGAGAGTGAAATAGAGAGGGAGAGATATAGAAAGGGAGAGATATAGAGAAAGGGATATATAGAGAGAGAGAGAGTGATAGAGAGAGCGAGTGATAGAGAGAGGGAGAGATATAGAAAAGGAGATATATAGAGAAAGATATATATATATATATATATCTTTCTCTATATATATATATATATAGAGAGAGAGAGAGAGAGAGAGATATAGAGAGGGAGATACATAGAGAGAGAGATATATATAGAGATAGAAAGATATAAAGAGAGAGATATATATAGAGATAGAAAGATATAAAGAGAGAGATATATAAAGAGAGAGAGGTATAGAGAGAGAGAGAGATATATATATAGAGAGAGATACATAGATATATATATATATATATATATATATACATATATATATATATAAAGAGATATATATATAGAGAGAGAGAGAGAGATATATATAGCGAGAGAGAGATATAGAGAGAGAGATACATAGATATATATATATATATATATAGAGAGAGAGAGATAGAGAGAGATGTATATATATAAATAGAGAGAGAGAGAGATATATATATAGAGAGAGATACATAGATATATATATATATATATATATATATACATATATATATATATAAAGAGATATAGGTATAGAGAGAGAGAGAGATATATATATAGAGAGAGATACATAGATATATATATATATATATATATATATATATATATATATATATAAAGAGATATATATATAGAGAGAGAGAGAGAGATATATATAGCGAGAGAGAGATATAGAGAGAGAGATACATAGATATATATATATATATATATAGAGAGAGAGAGATAGAGAGAGATGTATATATATAAAGAGATGGCTAGATAAAGAGAGATATAGAGAGAGATAAAAAGAGAGATATATATATAGAGAGAGATAAAAAGAGAGATATATATAAAGAGAGATATAAAGAGATAAAGAGGTGTTCTTAAATCAATTTTCTTTAAATTCTGTATTTTCTTCTTCTTCATTTCAGAACGTTTAATCAACGGCATTTACGAACTGAAACAAGCACTGGCGCTCAAATATCAAAATCAAAATAACAGTGAGCACAACGAAGCTATCGATCAGCGCATCGAGCAGATCTACAAGACGGCACAAAGTGAGTGATGTTTATTTAATATTTCCTTGCGTACTTTATTATGTCTTCTTCCGTGGAATGCAAAAATCACCAGGCTACTTTGTGAGCTTACTCTGGAGTATGCTACATACAACTGGCCAAGAGAAAACCAGCTTTCTCTCAAGCTTACGCCTGTTATCTTAAGAGTTTGATCTTAAGCTGCCGTGGTTATTACAGTAAATAATTTTATGAAATCCTAGGAATATCTATGTATACTCCGTTAGTATAGTAGCCCCGATAATATTTCGCTTCAATACTTTCACCTGTAATCTGGTATCATTGCATAATTTTGGTGGATTTAAATTGTGCAGCTACATAATTGGCACTCATTCTGCAGGCTTATCGTGAATATTATTTATAAGCAGTTGTTCCTAATGTTGTTCTTCAGCTCCAAGAAATCACCATTTACTACAGATCTGAGAGCTGTGTGGCAGTGATATCTCCTCTCAAATGGACTCTCAGATGCTTCATGCTTGCTTTAACTTCGTTCCCTCGCATTTGCCTAAGCACTACTGGCAGAGTTTGTCGCTTGCTAGCAATACAATAACTGCTCCAACAGTTTGGTAGCACCACTACCATCGATGCGATCTCTAAGGCATCATGTTTGCTTCTCACTTTGGCCAATAATAAATTTAATTTAATAAGAAAGATATCTTCAACCTCGATGCTTCGATGCTTGAAAGCATATATATTGTTGGAGAGTATTCGCTACTTTATACCATTTTTGCTAAGGAATTGTTATCGCAACTGTCCCCAATGATGATTTGTTTCAAATAAATCGATTCCGATCCACTTCTCGGAAGAAAAAATTCTTGGGCTCAAAGCTACTACTGTACCAAATTTTATGTAAATCAAATGATAAATACAAATTTTTCGTGACCCTGTTAGGTAGAGGTTTAAGAATTTTCCTGCGGTGAGACGTGTCTGTCTTAAGGAGCGAATAAAATCCAAAAGTTGTCGCGACAGTCGAGTCTTTATAACGAAACGAGCCAGATTTTTATCCTCAATATTCCACAAAAACTACTTTGGGGAATATTTTTGCGGCTTTTCGAACGGATCGGTCCCAGCGCCAGTTCTTGGAATATTCTTCTTCACGGGTCCTTAGGCTGTGTATTAATTCGTCAGTCAAAGGCATTAACATATTATACATATATAGATTATATATTTAATTGTATTTTAAATATTTAATACATTTATGTATATATAAGCATATGTACGTGTATATAATATTTCTCACTCTTTGCAGCTGGTCTACGTATAGCTGGCGATACGACAGATTTTGTTAACAAAGTGCTGGAGAATGTTAAAAGTGGTGTACCAAATGGTGGTCTCGAGGATTTAAGACATTCATAGAATCGTCATAGAAAGGAAATAAAGCACAGGCGATGTGTATAGCTTTTAAGGACAAATATTGGAGGCTCAAAGGTGAAAATGAAAGGGAATGTGAAGAGTGAGAATAGCGATGGTAATCAATTATCAATGGAACGTGTATTGGAAGAATAAATGAACCCCGATATGCTGCTGAAAACGACATGAGGAAATGTGCGAAACAAGAAAAGTGAGAATAATGTACGATGAGAAAATGAAATAAGAGAAATTTGGTTGACAAGGAAAGCTGTTACCAGCTAGAAGGTGATATCAAAAGAAATAGCCGTTGAAAACATTTTCAAAATGAGATTTATCAACAAAAGGAGAAGGAAAGAATTGAAGCTCTGGCGTTGGTTATCAAGAAAAACGCTGTAATAATGACAGTTCAAAATATACAGTTTTGAAAAGGTTAAAAAGTTTAAAGGAAACGAAAGAGGCCACAATTATATACATACACATACATACATATATATATTTTTTTTTGTTTAGCTCTTAAGTGAAAATGTTACGGATGTAGAGGATGGGTAAATATTAATACTTGGGGAAATAATAATTATAATCAGCTATAACTGCTGTTTGTTATAAAAGGTTTATACTGAAATATCAGTCAAATGCATATATTATATTTATAAATGTTGGCAAATACATATATTTATACCTAAAAAAAAGGAAAGAAAGTAAAATTAAAATAAATGTGAAAGCATATATATGTATAAACTGCCTATGCCATAAGGATTTCTCTTAAAAATATTGCTGAAATTAAATGAAAAATCGTATATACATACTTACATGCGCAAAAAAAGCATAAAAACGTATATATATATCTGCAAGCATGAGTATAAAATATGTATGTTTGTAGCTTATGCACATATATATATATAAAGGAAAATGTAGAAATATAACAAGTCAGGGAAATGAATTGTAACAACAATTAATAAGTAACGAATGTGAAGATATATACATGTGAAGTAAGGTATATATGTATACCTACATTTTGACATACATTTTGGCGCTTAATAGTTTTATACAAAAGAAAAAAAATTAATTGCAGGAGTGCAGTCAATTTAGATATAAAGAAATATTAATTTTGCATACATACACATACCTAATTACTTACATAATTATATGTATATATGTAGCATGTTATATATACACATGTATGTTAAATGTTTTTTTTTAATTAATGTTGTAGTCTTTTAAAAATATAAACAATATTGAAATATTATTAATGAATTAATTTTACAAAAGTTTTTATGTTTATGTTTAGTTTGGCTGCTAGCTATTGTTTTGCTTTTAAATATTTTGTTTGCCAAAAAAAAAAAAAATACTACATATACATACCACCACATTAAAATGAATATATTTGTTGTTATGTACCGCAAAAACCTCAATATGTAACAAAAAAGTAAAGCAAAAATGCATACGTCATAAGCGAGAATAATGTAAAAATTGTTGGAATATGTAAACGGAAAATGAAAACAAAACAAAATACAATTTTTTTTTAATATATTTAAGCTTTCCATTAAATAACTTTTGTTATGTATTTTAGCGCTTCACATATGCATGTAGTGCAGTTAATTAATTTTGTTGCTTTATACTTTGTTAAAAAGTGCAGTATAAAGTCAAAAAGGAAAGAAAGAAAGAAAGAAATTTGCATGAAAAAACCAAAACAAGTGTTTCAAAATATGAAAACTAGCGCTTACTTTAAAAGAATTTCTATTTTTTTTTTATTTGATAAAATGAAAAAGTTAATTTAATTTAAATTTAAAACAATATTACCTGCACATTTTAACAAAACACAATTACATATATATACATATACAATTTATTTGCATGCCTAATAAGCTTAACACAATAAGAGTGTCTGTATGTGCATATAAATATATTTTTAAGTTTGTATAAATAATTTTTTTATTTAGGTTTTTTTTGTTAATATTTTTCATGTTAATAATTTTTTCTATAATTTTTTTAATAATTTTTTTTTTATAATTTTTTTAATATTTTTTTTTTATAATTTTTTTTAATAATTTGTTTATAATTTTTTTTTGTAATTTTTTTTTTGTAATTTTTTTTGTAATTTTTTTTATAATTTTTTTTTTTTTTTTGGTTGCCAATTTACATATGTAGCACCGGTCAACACGATTGTTTAATTTCGATTTCTTATATACAACACTAAAAACAAGAAATTTTTTGTTTAATTAAAATCTGTTGATTTTGAACTTTCTCTCGTCAGTGCAGCAAGAGAGTCCCGATATATCGGCCGTTGGCACTAAAAGGGTTTAAAGTATACTTAAAATGTAAATCCGACAAAAGCGAACTTTAAGTAAAACGGAAAATTTGTGTGTCTAGAACCAAAATATTTTTATGCATGAGAACGGAAACAAATAATAAAATAAAAATTAAAATAAATAAATTGAAAATATCTAAAATAAAAAATATATATATTTTTTGACCGGTGTAATTATTATATTGCATTAAATAATATTTTAGATAGTTGTTTGCGTTTTATTCATTACTTTTAAGTTACAAAGTTGTGGAGAAGTAAATATTTATTCAATAAAATGAGCTATAATTAAACGCATACACTATAAACATACTATAATTATATGAAGAAGCGCATATATAATGATATACTATAAATTTTATGTACTACAACATACATACAGGGTGATATAATTCTAATTATTCATAATTATTTTATTTAGCTATACAATAAATACCATTTATTGCTAATTTTAATTGAATCTTTATTTGTAAGTAACATATATATGTATATATATATATAATATTTTAAGTTGCTTGCACAACACATGCTTACATATAAATTAAATTCTGCTGAATTGAATGCTATAATGGTATAAAGCAAGAATGGCTTGATTTTTTTTTAATATAAAAAATATGCTACTAGATTCAGCGAAAAACAATAAAATTCCTTTGATTGGGTTAAAAACAAACTCAAACTATACGTAGCCATAAAACATGCGCAGAAAATTAAAAAGAAAAAAACATATATACATAATATATAATATGCTTAAAGTGTAATAAAAATACATAAAAAAGCAAAAACCTAAAATTTCAATGCATACAAAACAATCGTGAATTAATTGTAAAATTATTCGAAAGAAAAACTGTTACACACTCTGATAAAGTATAATTGAAGTAGAGTTACAAATTTATAAATTTAAACACCTGTTGTAATACTGAAAGGTTATTGAATATATTCTACATTCGAGTACTGAGGGCGGCGAGCATTTAAAGAAGCTTTTATGCTGTTTAATAGGCAGTAACAACAATTGCAGAACTTTCGCAAAAATTTTTGGTATTTTTTTTTTAATTTTCTACTGATTTGTATAACAAATATACAAATATATATGTCATAAAAATTATTATTGTTTTTTTTTTTAATTGCCAGAATATAGCATATTTTCTCCGGTTTAGTTTTTTAATTTATTTTTAACCATAAATTTTTGTTAATATTTTTTTTGGTTTGATAATTATTCGTTATTCGTGGACTCTTACGATTTTTTTTCTTGTATTATTGAAATATTCCGTTTTCTAAATGCATTTATAATTATTTTTTCGAAATTTACATAATTACTTAGTTGTTGTGAAAAACTGTTTTTCTCTTCTTTTCTGTTTTCGAAAGTTTCTTTAAATTCTTGCCAAAGGCCCCAAAGATAACAACAGTCACAGTTATGAGCAGAAGAAATTTATATAAATAAATATATTTTTTACACCAACAACCAAATAACCAAAATCGTGCAGCCAAACTGTCGAAAATGACAAAAACAATGATAAATAATAACGGGTTTCATACAAATATAAGGCAAAAGAAATTAAACAAAAACAAAATTATATACCTACATACATATTTATATGAATAACTTTATATATATATTTTCTTTTATTACTATATGTAGATAAATATTTTAATTTTACATACACTTGCATACATACATACATACTAAGAAATTTAATATTTAGAATTTACCAAATACGAAGTAAAACAAAAACAAACAAAAAAAAAATATTCATATAATTGTGGAAAGAAATTACTTTTAAAATATGAAACAAAAAACAACTTGAATACTCTTGAGTTTTATTATTTTTTCAGCTTTTCCTTCTATTGTTTATGCTTTTGATTGTGTCGCATTTAGTAGCGCTATGAATTGATTTCCTTATTGGTTGTGGTCTAAAGTGTTGCGTTCCTTATTTTACTCAATTTTTTTTTTTTATAATTCTGTTTTATTTTTTTTATTTTTTTTATTACTAAATAAAATCGCTTCAGCGGTTATAAAGCGCCAATTATATATACAAGTAACTAGGTTTTCGGCGCATCTCTCAGCTGGCAAGTAAAGTGGCGGGGCGAGTCTGATGCGAACATATGCATGCATAATTAAGCGCTAAATTTCATAATAGCAGAGGCCTTGAAGCACATGTGAAGAAGACAGTTTTTTAATATTATATATCTATTATTTATTTGGCTACAATTCCGCAAAAACATCTGTTTATGTTTTGTAATAATATTTTTCAACTTCAATTTTTTTTGCTTTCTTTCCTTCTTCTTATCTGGCTTTAAAAATTTATAAATTTTTTTATATTATTTTTTTTTTTTAATTTTTTTTTTATTAATTTTTACTATTATTTTTTTTTCTATTTTTTATATTATTTTTTATATTTTTTTCTTTTATTAATTTTTTTATTATTATTTTATAATTTTTTATTATTTTTCTTCTTTTTATTATGTTTTTAAATTATTTTTCTATTCAGTTTTTTATTATTAATTTTTCATAAGGTTTTTACAATTTTTCTATTATTAGTTTTTATTATGTTTTTTTCATTATTTTCTGATTACGTTTTTATTATTTTTTATTAATTAAATTATTATTAATTTTTATTTTTTATTATATATAGGTTTTTCTTATTATTTTATTATTATGTTTTTTGTTATTAATTTTTTATTTTTATTTTCTTATATTTTGTTTTTATTTTGTTATATATGTTTTATTATTATTATTATTTTTTTTTTATTATTATCATTATTTTTTTTTTTTAATATCATTAATTTCAGTTATTATTTGTTTTTTGATTATGTTTATTAATATTTTTTCATTATATTTTTAATGATGTTTTTTTATTACGTTTTTTATTTTATTGTTATCTTTTTTATAATTTTCATTACTATTTTTTATAATTTTTTCTATTATTATTTTTTGATTGCTTTTATTGTTATTTTTTTATAATTTTTATTATTATTATTTTTTGATTATTTTTTTATTGTTATTTTTTATAATTTTTGTTTGTCCTTTTTAATATTATTGTTCGTTGCTTGTATTATGATCTTCTTATTATTTTCTATTATTTCTTTTTTTATGATTTTTATTATTGTTTTTATAATTTTTTTATTTTCTTTTACTATTATTTTTTTTGTATTTATTTTTTTAATATAACGTTTTTTATATTTTTCAACTGTTTTTTATAATTTATTATTATTTTCTTTATAATTTTTATCTTATTTTAATTTTATTATATTTTAATTTTTTTATCATTTATAATAGTTTGTTATTAATTTTTTATTTTTCAACTATTTAATATATGTAATTTTTTTATTATGCTTTTTAGTATTTTTTTTATAATCTTTTTTATTATTTTTATTGCACAATTTTTA